ATAGTTTTAACCAAAACGCACTGAACGTATTTAGCAAAGACCATGTGTCATATTAATGCGGCTTTTTTTTTTTAAATTTACCTTAATATATAAGGGAATTGCTTTGGTTATAAATTTTTGATAAATACCAAATGGCATTAAATGTTTATACTATATCTATAAATTATTGACTACGATATATGTTAAGTTTATCATGTAATAAAATCCAAAATATAGTAACAACGAAACGTTTAGTCCAGTATTTATGTTCACGTGCGCAAGTGTGCGCGCGTGTGCGGATCCAATCAAATTGCTTTATTTAAAATTTTGATTGGATCCGCACATTTGCTTACACTTTTGCGCACGTATACTGGATTAGTCAGCATCGCTAGTCAGGATAGAATGAATTTTAGAACATGACGGAGTTCATTGTTTGAAGCATAGCGGAAGACTAATTGTATATGGAATATTTCCTTAATTAATTCTCTAATTCTGATAGCCATGAATTGATCTTATCCGAATATTACCTAGGATATAACCGTTGTCCTAATACCTCATCTTATTAAAGGTTATAGCTTTTCGGGTAAAAAGTTAACTACTAATTTACGGAAATTCCGTTCTTGGTATCTCTGGCTTAACTTACGGAAAACTCCGTTCTTTGTATTATGGAAGGTAAGTAACAACTTAAAATACAGAAGTGAGGTGGCACAGGAATAATTCATTGCTACAATAGATAATAAGAATACAATCTCATGTAACATTAAGAAAGTAGTATAATTTTTGTAAATACCACCGTTACAATCAACCTCATAAATAACAATCTAAGCTATAAAATGAACTTCTATATATCAAAATTATATTAAAATTCCCTCATATACAGTTTACTCTTGTAAATATCAACGCATTTGGCTCGCTTTATATCCATGTTGGCAGTGATATTAATGAGGCTTTAATCTTCTATCTACTTCCAGATGTTATCCGAGAAGATCAAAAAAATTCAATTACGGAATAAAATTATTAAATATTCTGACCGACTCTTAACTGAACACGGAAATGAAATATGTCCAGAGTTTTTTAAAAAGCCTTTTAAATTTATCCAGCATGCCAATGATCCAGATTGGATCGGGTATGGTGATATATCCATGTCTCCTTATGATACTGCTTGGGTCGCAATGATTCCTAGTAAAATTTATAAAGAATCAAAAATTTCAAAGGATTTCAGCTTAGCATTCCCTCAATGTTTCTTATGGTTTTTAAATAACCAAGACATTCATGGTAGTTGGGCTGGTAGTGGTGTTAGTGGCATAGTACCAGGACTTGCAGGTCTTCTTGCTCTAGGTCTTTTCCAAACACATTCCGGAGAATTCTTTGAAACTAAATTGAATAATTTGGGAATAACTATTGTAAATATCATATATTGCATAATGCATATATTTTAAATTTTATCATTAACTTTTCCACATTAATAAAATTCATTTTAAAGATTTTTTTTTCCTTCCTTCAAACAGGTGCAATTTATTGCAACTTTTGAGAAAGCCAAAAATTTTTTACGAAAAGCGTATGTATCATGAATTAGGTGCATCTTATTTATGTAACTAGTTCTCCGAAAGGGTTGGGTCTGGTCTATTATTTGCCAATTTGATTCCGACCAAAAGGTTCTGATTGGTTCATGTCAGAAGTCAAAAAAATTTTAACATGTCAACCATCGATTGTTGATCTAATTGTATAACGATGTGAATTCTGACAAGTGAACTGTTACATAAATAGATGTTAACAACTCTTTGTCATTAAATAAAATAAATTTTTAGTAGTGACTAATAAAATCTTTATTAGATTAAACGAATGGAATCTCGACAACTTTGATGACATGGTATGCTTTGAATTAATAATTCCTTACCACCTCTCGGCTCTGGCACAACTTAAAGAACCGGTTGTGTTTGATTTCCCTGAAAGTGAACGAATTTTACAAGAAGGTCAAAGAAAAATGAACCTTATCCCTCTGGACAAGATTATTTTTCAAGCAAAAAGCCAACCAATAACCCTTACACATTCTATTGAAGTATTTTGCGAGAAAATAGACCTTTCACGAATTCAAAATAACGGCTTTCAAGCAATTAATGGTAGCTATGGATCTTCACCAGCCGCTACTGCTTCAGTGCTTTTACATGCTCAGAAATGGGATGATAAAGCATTCGAATTTTTGGAAAAGATAATTTCAAAATGCCCATCTTATGCAAAAAGTCACGGTCTTGTTCCTACTATATGCGATGTAGGATTATTTGAAACTAATTGGATTATGCAATCCATTGGAGAATTATGTCTAAATATTCAGGAAGACAAGAAAATTAACCACAAGTGCAAACATATATTAATAAAAAAACTTTTTTCAAAGAATCTTGCACTTATTAAATACTTATCTGCATTAAACAAAGAACATAATGGAACTATTGGATGGACTAGTTGGGACAATAAAATACCGAAAGATGTAAATTGAATATTAATACTATATTATAGTTATATTTCAAATTTGAGCATTATAAGCAATTAATTATATTTTAAATCTGAATAATTTCTTAGGTTGACGATTCAAGTAAATATTTTTATTGATTTTTGTATTCTCTAAAAAAAATATTTAATAATATAAATACATTCTTTTTTTTTCTTAGCTGTATGTAATTGGCTTATTAAGAAGTTCGATTCTGATAGTGCAGTTGATCTTGACATTATCGAAAAGACTTTTTATAATGGAAAATATTTTATCACTTATCCTAATGGTATGTATTTTTGAAATATATTAAGACCTCCTTAATCAACTTGTTGATCCTGCATTTAGGGAGGTCTTAATTATAATTTAGTAATAAATTTAGGCGTCTTTAAGAACACTCACTTGTCTAATATCGCATAACTGACATGGCCAAAAGATATTTGATGAGAAATAGCAGATATAGGAATCTATTAGATAAAATTATCGTTCATATAATGACTACGTAATAGTGTGGTAGTAATTAATATCAGTTCTTTAAATTGAAATTTACTGCAAATATAATCATTTGATATGTGTATAAGGATTATGTCTTATAAACAATTAATATATTATTACTATATTATTATTATTCTTAATTATTTTACCACTATGTATAATATGTAGTTATTGTATATTATAGAAGAACGCATAATTATATATCTAGAATTTTATATCTGTTATCATGAACTTGTATTTACTTGAGACTTTACATTTATTTCAGAACGAACATTCTCGATAAGTTGTAATGTGCATGCCATCAAACTTTTTGTTTTAGAGTATCAAAGTTTGCAAACGGTGAACATCTCTACTTCTAATACTGGTGTTACAAGAATATTTGAGTTAGAAGAGATAATTGTAACTGCAACAAATTTTCTAATTTCACAACGAGAAAAAGATGGCATTTGGTTTGATAAATGGAACAAAAGTCCAGCTTATGTAACTTTCAAAGCAAACAATTTGCTATTATCCTTACAAGAGCACCCAAACCTATGTGCCAAATTAGGATTCGCAACGAATGAAGACCTTCGTAATTTTTGCAAAAAATCTGTCGATTGGGCATTAAATACACAACATGCTGATGGAAGTTGGGGTGAGCCATCAAATATAGGACCTGGAAATCTTGAAGAAACAAGTTATATTGTAAGGCTCCTAAAGACTGCTACTAAGAATTGGTCAGATGATAAAGTGATTAAATCAGCATTATATAATGGTAGGAAATATCTTATTAAACATCTTGATGAATCAATAATGGATCAAGAATATTTTCATACAAAGCAGCCTTTTTTGTGGATTGGCAAACAATATTTTACTATTCCGAGAGTTATCAAATCATCTATTCTTGTATCACTTTGGGATTATTAAAAAAAATTTCACTTTTTTTCATCTTTTAACTTAATTAATTTATTTATTATTTTTTTGACCTATATTGTATGTATTTATCCTATCAATCAAATTTTGAGTTTTATAATAATAAAATTTTTTATTATATAAAGTCTTCATTTTTAGCTGAAAATTTTTAATTTTTGGAAATATTTTACATGTTATTATTAATCAGGACTAGATAAATTAGCAATTAAAATACAAACAGTAACATATTATTAATTTATATAAATAATACCATTGATTTATTCATGTTATAATGAACTTTTTGTTTCTTTCTCGAAGTACAATTGGTATATGAGTAGGGATGGGTTCGGTCAGCTAGTAGTCGGCTATCTGATCGGCTATAGCCGTAGTCGCTATAGTCAACTATATAGTCGACTATAGCGGCTTAGCTGACCGGCTGGCCAATCCCAAATTTTTTATTTCCTGGCTGATAAATCATAATTATTGCTTAATTCAGCATGAAGTGTACAAATTATATAGAATTATTGCAAGAAATACACAGAAGCTACGGACAGTTCCTAAGGACAGTTCAGTAACCAGAATTAGGATTAGTGTTAGGGTTAGGGTAGGTGGATTTAGTTGATGTTAGTCAAAATGCACTGTCCATAAGAACTGTCCGTAGACTCGGCGCAAGAAATGCCCTAGCTGTCACGTTACAGAAGATTCTCTATTTTGATTGGCTAAGAGCGATGATCAAAATTCAGGGTGAACTTACTCAAAACCTTAATAATGAAATCATAGCTACCTATTACTGTATTAAGTTAAAATGTTCCTGGATTAATTTTACCATTGTATAGGCATATTTCTCTAAAAATTTCTATTTAACTCTCTTCAATCTTCTTCAACAATCTGTATCTGATCATTGCCCGGTAAATTAGTGTTGGGCATGTGCCGTCTTACTCATTGGTTACAAGTACCCCAGTGGTACTGACAGAATTTTGCTGATCTGCAATCTAGAACATTTTGATTAGCCAATCAAAATTTGGTTATTTTTAATTTTTACCCATTTTTTTAAAATCCTAGTGATATTTCCTACTAACTATTCAATTAAACTTAATAAAATAATTTTATTTTAATTATATACATCCATGGAATTAAAATAAAAAATTTCATTGAATTAGGATAGTTGGCTGTCAAGAAATCTTTGCTAGAAGTTCAAAAAAAATATAGAAAATTGAAAAAAAACCAAAATCGGATGAATTTTTTCTTTTTTTATACTTTAAACGAAGTTTTCTTGACAATCAACTATCCGAATTTGGTGAACTTTTTTTATTTTGATTCTATGACTTCATAAAATTAAAATAAAAAAATTTTGATTAAATTTGAATAGCTGAATATCGAGTAATATTCATTATGAGTTAAAAAAAAATTTGGCCACATCTTTTCTTTTATATATACCTAAACTTTGACAAAGATTACTTGGAAATTACCTAGTCAAATCTGATCAATTTTTTTTTATCTTAATTCTATAACTACATAGAATTAAAATAAAAAAAAATTGATCGAATTTGACTAGGTAATTGCAAGTAATCTTTGTTCAAAGTTTAGGTATCTATAAAAGGAAAGCTACGGCCAAATTTTTTTTAACTTATAATGAATATTACTCAACATTCAGCTATTCAAACTCAATAATTTTTTTATTTATTTTAATCCTATAAAGCCACAGAATTAAAATAAAAAAAGTTTCACCAAATTCAGATAGTCAGTTGTCAAGAAATCTTTATTTAAAGTTTAAATAAAATTTTTGTTGCTGTATTTCTTTTTTATAACTTTTTTTAAAAACATTTAACTGATGATTTTTTGAAAATTAATTATACAAATTTGATGAAACAATTTTTATTTTAATTCTGTGGCTTCATAGAATTAAAATAAAAAAATTTTGATCGAATTTGAATAGCTGAGTGTCGAGTAATATTTATTATAAGCTAAAAAAAAATTTGAATAAAGATTACTTGGCAATTACCTAGTCAAATTCGATTAAATTTTTTTTTATTTTAATTCTATGTGATTATAGAATTAAAATAAAAAAAAAATTGATCAGATTTGACTAGATAATTTCCAAGTAATCTTCGTTCAAAGTTTAGGTGCATATAAAAGAAAAGCTGAGGCCAAATATTTTTTTAAATCATAATGAACATTACACGACATTCAGCAATTCAAATTTGATCAAAATTTTTTTATTTTAATTCTATGAAGCTATAGAATCAGAATAAAAAAAAGTTCCCCAAATTCAGATAGTTGATTGTCAAGAAATCTTCATTTAAAGTATAAAAGAGGAAAAAATTTATTCAATTTTGGTTTTTTTTCTAATTTTCTATATTTTTTTTAAACTTCTAGTGAAGATTTCTCAGCAACCAACTATCCTAATTCAATGAAATTTTTTTTATTTTAATTCCACGGGTGTATAGAATTAAAATCAAATTATTTTATTAAGTTTAATTAAGTAGTTAGTAGGAAAACATCGCTAGGATTTTAAAAAAATGGTCAAAAATTAGAAATAAACAAAATTTGATTGGCTGATCAAAATGTTCTAGAATGCAGAACAGCAAAATTCTGTTGGTGCCACTGGGGTACTTGGTTTTTACTCTCACGCACTCAATAAAATCTTGCTTTTTTTATTATTAATTATATTATATGTAAATGCATGTTCATCTGTATTCCTATCTCTGCAATAAACACAGATTGAATCAATAAATATTGAGTACTGTTAGTAGCAACAGGTCGCAATAGTCATCACCAAAAACACACAACCAATACCTCAAACCACCCTATATACTCGATACTAGAGGTTGATATAATTTGGCAAGGTAAGGCAGTATCAAGTATATGGAGAACAATACAAACTAACTCAAATTAAAATATTTTTTAGCAAATATCACACCTTTTTTTCTTTTTTATTAAAGGGCAAAAAGAGCCTGTATTTATAACAAATTATATGCAGAGGAAGAACAAGATTGAATGTTTTTTGATCTAAACCCAAGCCCATTATGATGCTATTATTGCTTTGCCTTCTCTGGCTAAGCTTTTGGCACTGCACAAACAATAAGCCTTGGGGCTTCATAAGAACTTTTTCTTACAATTTCTTTATAATTTTGTAGAAGCTTTGAATCAGGGCTTTATTACATTTTTGTGTCTCATAACGTCAAACTCATCATAGCAAATTTTGGTAGTTTTGCTATCAACAATTTTTCCCTGCTTAATTTTTCATGTTCTGTAAAAAATCACTAAGCAACTGCATGCTTCTGGACTTAGAAAAACTCTACAAAAAAATAGTCTAAAAAAATTTTTTTTATTTTTGACCAGGCCCTTTTTTAAGGATTTTACTAGGAACCAACTCTATTTGTCTTTCTCAAGAGTTGAAGACCAGAGTGGTACTCTATAGCGGTAAGGAGGAGCAATTCTTTCTGCTTAGCTCTTTAGAGTAGATTAGTTTTTGCCCTAATATTTCTAACCTTTCCTCCAATTTGTTCTTACTAGTTCAAGGTTTCTGAACCAAGACCTCCATGATGATACACACTCGTAGCACCTTCTTTAGCTTTTGTTTGCTTTGATAGGCTCTTCTATGACTTAATCAGAGCAATGTCAAATGTCAGGAACTTTGATAATACAAATTTGGCCCTTCCAAATTTGTTCAATTTTACTCTTTATCTTAGCAAAATGAATTTTATTTTATTTTTTTTTACTATTTTTATATAGTTGACAGACCAGGCTCTATCATTACAACTTACAAGCAGTGTACCCAAGAAAACCTTCATACATTTTCTTCCTTGCTTAGTACCTATTTGTGCATTGGCACCAGGCTTCAATTAGTAGCTTACAGACCCAAAAAAAACAATCAGCTTTCTTTTTTTATTTTTTTAGCAAGATGAGAAAAAAGAAAAAAAAAAAACAAAATCTAGGAGAAAACATCATCAAGTTCATTTGGGCATGGATTTTACAATTACTACCAAAATGTTAGTAGCAACAGGACACAACAGTCACTACCAAGAATACACAACCAACACTACAAACTACTCTATATACGCAATACTAGAGATGGATATGGTTTATCAAGGTAAGTCAGTATTGAGTATATAGAGGAGGTTTGGGCCCTATAGCTTAATTATTAAGTTGCCAAACTCACAGAAATTAAGTCAAGGTCCATGGTTCGAGTTGGGCTGAAGGCGAAAAAAACTCTATAATCTACAGGTGAGAAGCCAAAATCGAATATGGAGCCTCGTGGAAGTCCAAGTATAGTACGAATTTGATAAAAAATTTCTGAAAAGAAATCTAACTATAGAGAGTTGGTATCATGTTTGGCAAGCAGCATCATAGAAGGTCTGAACAATAGGTTGTGCATGTTAATCTGTGGAGATCAAAACTATAGAGAGCTGGTGTTATGTTTGGCAAGTGGCATCATAAAAGGTTTAAGACAAATAGGTTGCGCATGTAAATCCTCAAGACACTTGGATAATACCAACAACCCAGGCAGTCTGGAATCTTGTTTGGAAAGGTAATACTAATGTTCTAAACTAGAAATAATGAGTGAAGCGGTGGATATAGTGATAGATCTGCATAGTAGCACCAACAACCTAGGGGTCTGGGATCTTGTTTGGGAGGGTAATACTAATGTCCAAACTGGGATTGATGAGTGAAGTGGTGGATATAGTAAAAATCTGTAGAAAAAGATTGGTCTAATTAAATTCTAGAAATACCTCTGGCACTTATATAAAGTTAGAAGTTGCATTAAGTATTGTGTCGTATATTACTAACTTTAGTAATGAGTACTATGCCTGTGCATTGTTAGTCAAGGTTCTAGGTCTCCTTGTAGTACTAAGCTAGAAGTGAAAATAATCATCAGTAATATACCCATACATAAAAATGGATATACTGGGAAGCTTTTGGTACTCATGCTAGATAATACCAACTTTAGTAGCATCATAAAGGCAAATGGTACACTGCAGAGTAACAACTGGAAATTCTAATAAATCTGGCTG